AGAGGGTATCCCCTCCTTCTCCTTTGTCCATTCTGACCTCCCAAAAGTGGAGGAGCTCTTTTCCAATGCATTGGTCATGAAATTCTATGGGGGTCGACCCTCGCTTGAAACTAGCCATAAGGAAATATTGTCTTGGGGCATTGAACACCAGTTCACCATTGGTCCGCTCAATTCCCGAGCCTTTTTGCTTAGATTCCAAGATGATAAAGACCTGCTGAAAGTCCTCTCTCGTCGGTCTTCTACCCTCATAACCTTTCCTTACAGAATCTTCAGGTGGCATAACCTTTATCACATTACGGAAGATTCATGTATGGCTCCCGTTTGGATTTCCCTCCCGGGACCCCCCCTCCAATGTTTTGTCCCGGAGTTCCTCGAAGCCGTGGCTAATGGAATAGGTCGATTCCTATGTCTTGATAAGGCCACGGCCACCCTCGCTCGCCCAAGTGTGGCAAGAATGTGTGTGGAAATTGACCTTAGAAAACCCCCTCCACAATTCATATGGATAGGCCTTTATGAAGGTTTTGAACAACCTGTTGTGTATGAGAGATTGCCAAAATACTGCAATGGATGCCATGTGCAGGGCCATGCTTCTGTAGAATGCTCCAAGCCACAACATGTGGATCACCTTGTTAAACCCTTGATGCATTCATCAAAATTTGGTATCGATTCTCTTCTTACTATTGGTATCACCCCTAAAGCCCCAAAGGCCAAACGAATCTCCCTATGCGCTTGGTCCCCCCCTAAGGCCAACACATTTGCTCTCAATGTGGATGGATCGTGTCGCCAAAACCAAATGGCCATTGGGGGTGTGATCCGGGACCATGAAGGGAAACTCGTATGTGCATTTGCGGGACCCAAAGGTGTTGGTACGAGTTTTCAAGGGGAAATCCATGCCTTAGATGTCGGAGTTGAATTCATAGAGGAGTTGCAATTAAATTCCTCCATTGCATACACTGACTCCAAAAGCCTAGCCATGAGCATAGGTAAAGATTGCCCACTTTGGCAACTCACTCGCCTATGGCGAGACATGAACCACCGTCTTAGAGATATCCCCGTCATTCATTGCGTTCGAGAAGCTAATGTTGTTGCGGATGCTCTCTCAAAGCTGGGTCACGAATTCTCCCACATACGTTATTTCTTTACAGATCAAGAGTTACCAATTCAGATCCAAAAACTATTATGGCTTGACAAGATGGGCCACCAATTCTGCAGGGTTCGGTAATGTATACGGGGTATGAATGTTTTTGTTGTATATGTATATTTCTAGAGTTTGCTATCTATCTCTGCTGTTTGTAGATACAATCACTTGATTCTTGGTCCATATTTGCAGCAGGGTGCCATTTCCAGGTTGGACATATGCCCGAGTGAGGATGGCGTGCTGCTGGCCGATTTTCTGCAGCAGCGTACCAGCTGTATTGCTGCAATTCTGGGTGCGTGTGGGCTGTTTGCTGCTGGCCTTTTCTGCAGCAGGGGTTCGGTCATTATGGCGCAATTATGGGCGCATGGGTGGCTCGATTCACTGCGTTTCTGGGGGCTTTGGTGGCTGGAATGAGCTGGGGATGTGCGGCAGCTGGAGGCGGGCTGTTTCTGGCCGAAAAACTGCAGCAATGTTGCTGCCCATGTGCTGCATTTCTGGGCATGTATGCGGGGTGCTCTGCTGCTGGTTTCGTGTCATGTTATGTTCAGAGGACGTTTGTGGACTTGGGAGTGTTTTAAGAGGAATGAAGAGGCGGATGAAGGCCCCATGAAAGCAACAAAGCATTGGCTCAGCTCACATGGCGGCATGGAATTCAGGCTCGATGACACAATCATATACGCATCATTTGTAGAAGGAAGCTACATTGAGTTGAACACCTTTGTGTGTGTTGTTTTGTTCAGGATCTCCATGTGTATAGCTCATAGTTATTTTGTTTTGTTCAGGAATGTCTTTTGTGATAATTTTGTGCGATGTAACCTTTTGTACAGTGAGGAATGTCTCACTAGCTCATGTACTTTGCTCCCATACATATGGGAGTCATCATGTAATTTTCTAGCTATTAACGAAGTTTTTATTTTGTTAAAAAAAAGAGATTCCCACCCAAACTAATTAGTGGTAGCCAAATGCCTGTCATCTTGACCTGGGGGATTTATAATCCCTTTTCCATTGGCCCCTCACCTCCCGCGCCTTTCTCGACCTGGGGAATTGACCTGGGGAATTGATAATCCCTTTTCCATTGGCCCCCTCACCTCCCGCGCCTTTCTGCTCAGGTTTCAGGATGAAAATAGCCTCTTGAAAGTTCTTATGAGGCCCTCCACCTCCCTCGTTACTTTCCCATATAAAATTTTCAGGTGGCACAACCTATGCCGCATCAAAGAAGATTCTTTGCCAGTTTGGGTATCATTGCCGAAACTCCCTCTACAATGCTTTATTCAGGAATTCCTGGAAACCGTGGCAAACAAAATCGGTCGTTTCCTGTGCCTTGACAAAGCCACAGAAACCCTTGCTCGCCCTACCGCAGCGAGAATGTGTGTGGAGCTCGATCTTAGGAACCCCTGAGAATGTGTGTGGAGCTTGATATTAGGCAACCGCCGCCTCAGTTCATTTGGGTGGGTTTGTTTGAAGGCTTTAAACAGCCGATCATTTACGATAAGTTGCCCAAATATTGTAACCACTGCCACATTTAGGGCCACACAACTGTAAATTGCTCCAAGTTTACTTTGGACAACCCCCAAAATCAGCCAGCAGGTCGAACTTCAGCTATGCAGAATAGCACACCATCTGTTTGACATAATGCCAAAGAACAGATTTCAGCTGATTCTCAAGGAAAGAACCTCCTCGGACTCGATGTTTCCACCACTTAGGCCACTTCCTCAATAGCTCCAATTCATCCACCATCGACAGGTCACACACCATCTACTTCAGCCCCTTTTTCCTCTCACTCCGGAGCAGCACCTCCCCCTCCTTCAGAACCATCTTTTCCGCCAGTCCCAAACTCCAACGCAAACCCCCCAACATCATCCAGCGCATTCGCTACCTCCAGCAAGCCATATGCAGTCAATTGCCCAGAACCTCCATCAGGTTCATTCCAATTTGTTAAACAAATCAGCCACCTTCACCATTCCATCCTGCTCCAACAGGAAGCACAATGGCAAATTTGTGACGTTCCAATTGCCAGCGCCCCAAATTCCTCCTCCACAAGAAGCCAACTAGGCCTATTAGGATGCACTTAATAGACAATTGGAAATTTTAGAGCAGTCCCGTCCTCATGAAGTGACCAAGCAGCCCCCTGCCCAGTCAGAGGAACAACCCATTCTAGAGGGTCCCTCCCACAACACTAACTCCGAACAAGCTCATCTAGAGCTTCTTCAAACCAACTCTGAATCAGGCTCTTCAATAGCTGCAAAGTTACAACTGAACTCCCCGCATGCTTTTATCCAGGACCCTCAGAACCCTGATGACACTGCTCAATCCAATTTCTATGATTCTGAAGGGGAGAAGCCTCAATCCGAACCTTCCCCTCTCCAAGGCCACAAAATGGATGATTTGCTCTTCCAGAAGCCACAGTCTTCCAAGATGAACAAGAGGCATCCTGACCAACCCCTCAAAGTCCGGGCACTTTTAGTTTCTGCCGTCAACTAATTGCAGAACACAAACCTCTTTTGTTCATTATGATCGAGCCGATTGTCTCCACAAAATTCATCAGAAAGTTCTATTTCTTTTGTGAATCATCAAATTGGATAGCCAATGAAGAGTTAGGGGGTAAAATATGGATTATGTGGCGACCGGGTATTCAAGTGAACCCTATACGCATAGATGTCTAGTGCATCACCATATCTATCACCTTTGATAATCACCACTTCACTCTATCTGCGGTGTTTAGCAAGCACACCGTCCAACACATAAGAGAGTTATGAGATCATCTTAGGTTTATCTTCTCCCTTCGGAGAGGTCCTTGGTTGTGGGGTGGTGACTTCAACGGCCGGCCCGCGGCCCGGCCGCCCCATCTCTTCCATTAATGATCGTGTAGGGGGACCCCTCCCCAACCACTTTCCATGGAAGAATTTAATGCATGCATCAAACGCGCAAATGCCCCTATCCTAACCCCGTGCCACAATTCACATGGTGCAACAACATGGAAGGAAGATTACGCACTGACAAAATATGGATAGAACTTTCTAATCACCGTAGCTCTTCTCCTTGCCTCGGGAGAGGGGGGGGGGGGGGCTATCATCGAAAGCTCTTAATCACTAATTTTCAAATCACTCCCCAATCATACTTACTTGGAACAACCAGTCCTATGACGGCTACAGACTATGGTGATACCAACGTATGTGGTCTCGCCACGAATCCTTCAAATCTCTTGTCCTCCAACACTAGCAACAGCCTCACACACTTTCCCCTTTGCATGATATCAGCCTCAAACTTAAAACCATCCACTCATCACTCAAACACTGGAACCTATTCACCTTCGGCAACACTAAAAATTAAGCATCAAGACTCAAGAATTAATCATTGATTTGAGGCTTGAGGCATGAGTTTACCTGTGATCAAAGAACTGGATCTTGAAGAAAATTACAAGGAGAGCTCGAAGCACCGGAGAGAAGCTTTGGTTCCTATCAACAAAGAAGAGGAGGAGAGCTGAGTCATCCAAAGATGAAACCCATGTACCCAAATTAGGGATCCAATCATCTTTAAATCTAAATCAAAATTCAAGAACGGATTACAGTAGAGTTAGAGGTTAGGGAGTATGGTTCTTACCAAGAATAAGGAGGCAACAACCTTCGAGAAGAGTGATCACTATAAAGGCTTCAAACCCAAACGATCAAAACCCCAACCTTCGAAATCTGTAGATTCGGTAGATTTTAAGGAGAGAGAAGGAAAGAAAACCAAGAGTTTGAAGCAAGGGGAAGGCGCGGTTCTTAGCTGGGATCAAGAGGATGAGAACTCACGAAATGCTCGGACTCAAATTAAAGAAATCTGAAACCCTAGCTTGTCTCGGTGAAGATGTTGAGGAGATTGAAGGGTTTAAAAGGAAGTGAAAAAGAAGAGGAGTAAGGATTCTTACGGTGGAAGAATTCCTAACTTGGATAAGAAGACCCGAATAAGAAGGAAGAAAAAAAATCAGAGTTTAGGATTTAACCCCACACACCGACCCTATACGAGTCACCTCGAGATGAACCACACACTTGCGAGTAACCTCAACATGACTCGCACATGTGCTGGTCACATTGACATGACTTGCACATAGGGTTGGTCTAGGGATTGTTTTTGTGGAAATTTTTTTGCCAGTTTTCACCCGATTCGACATATTCGAGGCCTATATTTACACTCCGACAAGTATACGAGTATAAACTGCTTCTCCTTGAACTTTCAATGGGTATATAAGGTTAAATTGATTCCCGAAACTCCAAGGAGTATATGAGTATAAACTGATTCTCTGCGCTCCAACGCCTTAAGAGCTTAAACTCTGTAGACTCCAGTTAACATATGAGTATAAACTGTGTTAACGCCGGTCAACGCGTTGCGATGAAAGTCAACACATGTCAATGTGTTAAAATGAGAGTCAACGCGTTGCAATGAAAGTCAACGCCGTTTAATGCATTGCAATGATAGTCAACTCTAATCAACACGTCGATATTTTCGCCAAAATAAGGCTCAGTTACATTCACAACGCAATGAGGGTCGACGCCGGTCAACGCGTCGATGATTTTGTCGAAATAAGGCAAAGAATGAAATTTTAGGTCAAAGGATAATTATCCCGATGAAGATTATTAGTTCAATGTTGATTCAACGACACGAGCTATATTTAGAAACCAAGGCTCCGGTTTCAGTTCAAGATTTCGACAACGGTCAGATGATAAACACAGCACCGGAAGAATTTTAGCTATTCAACAAAATACTGAATAGATTGGAAGCTGAAGAAGTAAATGAATTGAAGATTGGGCGTATCATATCCAAAGTATCCTAGCTGTCTCTTTAAAAGATTAAGGCTGAAACACTTTAGAGGGGGTATTTGTAGGCATCAAAAATTGCCTATAGGTTACCACACACAGCTCGAGATGAAGCGAAGAAGACAAACATCAACATCTAAGTCAGATGAGATTATCTAATACTGTAAAGAAGCAAACAAGCGCACGAAGCGAGTCGGTGAAGTGTACAAATCAGCGAGACGCGTGAAACTATGAAACGGCGGAACAAGATCAAAACAGGGCTTCGCCACTTACGAGTCACATCAAAGTGACCTGCTGGTGTGCGAGTCACATTGAGGTGACTCACACATGGTGAGTCACGTGCGAGTCACATTGAAGTGACTTGTACAATGCCGAGTCACATTGAAGTGACTCGCACAGTGCCGAATCACCTCGAGGTGACTCACACACTCAGATGCCCAAAATGCTTATTTCGATGATTTTCTCGGGATTTGATCATTCCACTGCCTCCCTAACTGCCTTAGGATCATCCTAAATGTGTTTAAGCCATTATTAACTAAAGATAAGATCAAATCATGAATTTTTATCCAAAAAACACAGCATCTGAAGTCTATAAATACACTCCTAGGGCCCCTATACAGGGGATAGGAAATTAGAGCTTTGAGGTGAGGTGCTGTCGAATTGGAGAGTAGACTCATGAATTTCAGAGGGAGGCTATCAGATCTTAGTGAACTTCAGCATAAAGAGGAAGCTTTTTTGAGAGATCTGAGGCTGTTTCTATCGTTCCTTAAGATCAGACTTTGTTTTGATCTTGAGAAGAGCACTTATCTCACCTTGTTGAGATATTTACTTTAGTTTTTGTTTCTTTTGTGAAACAAGATCAACCGAATTTGGTTCTTGGTGGTCCACGGATCAACCAAATTTGTAGCATGTTTAATATCATGTCTACAATCATTCCCTAAAGTTTTACATTTTTTGGAATTTATTTGATATTTTTAAACAGGGTTTTAAAATCAGAAAATCATCTTTCAAACCTGTTTTCTCATATGTCAGTTTACGATCGACCGCCACGGTCGACCGCGCCTTTGTTTTTAACCTGCGAAACCAACAACAACTTTCACGGTCGACCGCTATGGTTGACCGTCAGTTCGAAAATTCCCACGGTCGATTGTCACGGTCGACCGTCTAAGTTTCTAGAATTTTCTGAGCCTCGAAAGTGGCTCGCGGTCGACCGCGAGATTTTCCGCGAGATTTTCACGGTCGACCGCCGTTCACTCCAACGGTCATTTTATACAGAATTTGATTTCCGATTCTCTTTGTTTTTTGGTCATTTCTGTTGGGCTTTTGGCTGAGGTTTTGGGAGGCTATAAATATCCCATTGATCCTAGTTCTCATAGCAATCAAAGAAGTTTTTAAACAAGAGTTTAACAAGGGTTTAAGTTTGTTTAGTATTTTTTTAAAAGAGTTTTGTTTGTGAAGAAGTTTTACACAAGTGGAGGAGATCATCTACATTCCTTGGGCTTCATTTTAATCCATCTCTCCATCTTGTCTTTTCATAGAAGAATTTCTAAACTCTATACTAGCTTTGTATTAATTTTTTGTTGTTTATCATTTTCATTAAGCTAGTATTTACAATTGAGTTTAGTTAATTTGATTTCACTCATTGCTTACACACACCCACTTGAGCTTATTGTATTTTTATACATAGTATATTTGGGTTGGTGAGAGTTATAACTATTGAGTGTGAGCTTTTATTGTGTTCTCATCCATATTAGAGAACAACCATTTATTGTATTTGTGCTAATTGTGAGATTCACTTTGTAATATACTTGTACACCGAGAGAAGTGTGTAGCGAGAGTCGGGGATCGTCCCAAGAAGAGTGGTATTGGTTGACGAACCTAGGGAGAGGTTGTATCCGAGCACTTGAGGGAGACACATATAGGTCCAACACTTAAGAGGGTGTAGAGTGGGATTGTAAGAGTGGTGATTATAAAGTTTTCGGTTAACTAGAAAACCGAGTGTGAGGTGTAAACATTATTCAGGTAAATGTAGAAAACCCGGTTATGATAGTGGAGATCTCCTCGAGGTGAGGAGTGGAGACGTAGGTCAAGTGGTTAGACCGAACTCCGTAATCATATCGTTTTGTTTGTGATTACATTAGCATTTTTATTCTTGTATTCATATCTTATATTGCCTTTGTGTATTGCACTTCATATTGCCCTATCACTTTGGTAGATTTTTTATTTCACCATTGTGTTAGTTTTTATATCATTGCATATAATTCATAGTATATCTCATTGCTAGGATATACCCCTTAGTTCATATTGCTCATCCTAGCTCATATATATTATTGTATTTTATACTTGCTAGGATAACTTATTAATTAATTTTAATTGGTATAAAATCAGATTAGATTAGTATAAGATCCTAATCACCCCCCCCCCTCTAGGGTCTAACAAACAAAAGATGTAAAAGTGATGCTATCACTCTACAGGAAGCTTGCGATAACGGATTTGCTTCTCCAGCTTAGAGAGCTTCTCTTCATAAGCTCGTGCAAGTTCTACCTTCAAATCAGCTCTTATGGAGTCTTCAGTAGTAGTTAGAGCCTTTGTGACCTCTGTTTCTATTTTTGCCAGCTTGTCCTCATGAGGCTTCATTTTATCAAGCATTTTAGCACAAGCGCTCCTTACACCGGTCAAGTCAACTTCCATGATGGCTCGAGCGTTTTTGGCTGTTCGCGATGAAAATTGCCTTTATTGAATTCATTGTCATCTTAAATAATAACTTTTTGAGTTATAAAGATCCGGTCTTTTTTAGATCCGGTTACAAAGAAATTAAAGAAAATAAAAAAAATTACAACTTTCTCCTTTAGAACATATCGCGAGCTCCTGTTTTGCGGTCGCTCGCTTGTGTGGGTTCTTTGCCGACGCCGGGGTTAATCCGTGGACCACCGCGCGATCTAGATCCGGTCGGATCTACACGATTCGACGGGTATTATTTCGCAAAGGAAATAATAGCCGAGGGTACTATTTCGCCAAGGAAATAGTAGCCTTTAGTTCTCGGGATCAAAGGTCAAGCTTTGATCCGGAGTGTGATCTCGTGTAGATCTCAGATCTGATCTTTACCTCTCTCGAACTCCTGCTTTTGTGACGTGGATGCTCGCTGAGAACCAGATCTGAATCTTTAAATCCTCAAGTCTTCAAAACTCCAAGCTCGATCTTCAATTCGGCAGAGTTTCGGCTCTCAAAGTTCCAACCTTTTCAAATGAACCACCCTTGGCCTATTTATAGGCACCCAGATCTGTGCCTAGGCACAGATTCGGGCTGAGGTGGCTAGGCCACAAGTGGCCGACCACCCCTGGGTGGCTCGGCTCATGCCGAGCCACCTCAGGGTGGCTCGGCCTTGGCGGAGCCACCCTGAAGTGGCTCGGTTTCGGCCGAGCCCCTCAGGGTGTTTGGGTTCCGTCGTTGTTCCCGTTTTGTCCGTGATTTGGTTGTGCGGTTGATTTGTCTGGACTCGATTTGTTGACCTGATTTGGCAGTAAATCCGAATCCTGATTTGGCAGTAAATCCACTTCTGAGCTCGAGTCCGAAACCGATCTTGATTCGGTCGTGATTCATCCGAGTCCGCTCTTGTTTGGATGACTCGTTGACTCCCCGAACCGTTGGCTTGATTCCGCACGCGAATGGATGTATTCCGTTGCTTGCGTGCGATTCGTCAACCTCGTCGCCTCGTTGGTTCGTCGGTTTGTGCCGAGCTATGCTAAGGGACCTATAAGCAATTTTATACGCCTATAGATACTCCCTCCAAAGTATTTCAGCCTCGTTCTTTTATAGAAGAGTCTAAAATACTTTGGATATGATTGTCCCAACCTTCAATCGGTGTAACGGGACCTTGGAATGGCTTCCGTT